GTATTTCAGAGCAATCGCGCGGAGATGTCCATCTTCATCGTCGAGAATTAACATTTTTTACAGCGGCTCGTGTGATCCGCTCGTTTCAGGCAATTTTCGTTGAGGCGAATTGAAAATTTCGTCGCGTATTCGCTGCCAATTGATCCCGACGCTCCATGTCCTCGATGCGGCATTTTAACCAAGTCGATTTTTATAGTTTCCATTCTTCCTATTAAAACTTTTAAGAAGGAGCACTGATTCGGCACGCAAAATGAATATTTCTGTTCCCTTCTTATCTTTCATTCCAAAAACAATTACCATGATACTCTACTCGTAATTCCCGTAACACGTCCGATAAAGTAGCCGGAGGAGATTTAAAAAAGCAGAAGAGGGGAACACGAGCAACAGGAGCGTACAAGAAGAGAGTAACGACAGGATCGCAATTAATAGCTGGAAGCAATGGTGGTGCACGCTTCGAAATTAGACTTGCAAAGCAGCAGTATGTCGACGAGCGAGCGAGCGAGCGAACCAAGAGCTTGGTGCGTGCGAATTGTATTAGCAAGTCAGATTTCAGAATCTGAGGTTCGGACGGACTCTGGCGTCGCGGAAAATCGATTTGGTTTATTTGCATCGGCTCGAGCTCTAACGATCCCGAGGAGGATATGCGACGTAACCAGATTAAAATAAGCCGGGACGCGTGCCGGACTTATGTTGTTTCACGGACCTAAATAGTTCCTCTCCTTCCGGCGAAACACTCCGATTGTTTGTCTATAAGGAACCGACAAACAATCCTCAGTCGCTTTCTCGGTATTCTACCGAATACGAACGAAGATTCTCGCCTTAAACGAGATCTCTTACGTGAATTTTATTACCCAAGTTTAATACATCAAGTGTAGAAAATTAAATCTACATTGAAATTTCGTATATCTTTCAAGAATAATAATGAATATTATACTTTTGATGTTCTACACATTTTTGCATATGATGTACATCCTTTATATTTTCTGCATATATAATTTTTCTATGGAATCACAAATAAAATTTGAAATTATAGTGATTGAAAAACAAACATCTCATATCACTCTCTCTAATACAATACTCAGTCTTTAAGAATTTCTAAAATTCTCCTGTATGAAGTTTTATTTTGTTACTAGACTAAGAATGGTATTTGTTTATAAAATAAAGATGTGTCTAACTAAATTGCACCTTTCAATTTACCACCTTATATATACATAATGATCTACAGTTACTCTTTGCCAACTTTGTTTTACTTTCTAGAATACATAATTCACGGTTAACCTCAGACTGTCTGCCCGTCTTCAAGGTCCTCTCTGTTCCTTAATGCATGTGAATGTTGTGCTAGTGCTAGGGTAATTCTTTGATGACTATCTAAAAAGATTCAAGTGACTATTATTCGTTCGATGTAACGCGTCTGATCGTTGAATCTAATCGTGGAAACCGAAATGCGATTATGATGCATTGTTGCGAATGGACTGTTCTCTGTTCCCGAGATCCGTTTTGATAATACACGACGTAGTAATTTTCTACTTGCGAGTAATTCGATTTTCTTGGTATACAATTTAAATTATTCAATACGAGTTAATATAAAAATTACATCTAAGAATGGTATTTGTTTATAAAATAAAGATGTGTCTAACTAAATTGCACCTTTCAATTTACCACCTTATATATACATAATGATCTACAGTTACTCTTTGCCAACTTTGTTTTACTTTCTAGAATACATAATTCACGGTTAACCTCAGACTGTCTGCCCGTCTTCAAGGTCCTCTCTGTTCCTTAATGCATGTGAATGTTGTGCTAGTGCTAGGGTAATTCTTTGATGACTATCTAAAAAGATTCAAGTGACTATTATTCGTTCGATGTAACGCGTCTGATCGTTGAATCTAATCGTGGAAACCGAAATGCGATTATGATGCATTGTTGCGAATGGACTGTTCTCTGTTCCCGAGATCCGTTTTGATAATACACGACGTAGTAATTTTCTACTTGCGAGTAATTCGATTTTCTTGGTATACAATTTAAATTATTCAATACGAGTTAATATAAAAATTACATAATTCAATGTTTCATTTTTAAATTCTATTTAACTAAACAAGTAGACTCTGCTAAAATTATCATATACGATAAATAAGTTAAATGTTGAATAATTATGGTTGTAATAAAATACACCAAGTTTCTTACGGTTCTTTAATACGAGATTTACTAATTGCTTGTATAAATAAATGAATAAATAGCAAACTTTGGATCGTTTACTTGTAATGTTAAGAACGCCAGTGAAGAAATAGGTCGAGTTTTGCTTGTTTCGCGAGTCGATTCTATCTCTATCGGTCCTTTTGACGCGGAAGTCTCAAAGACTTGGAGCTGCGTGGGATGCACTTCCGGCATGTTTTTGCCACGTTTAAGAGAACCGAGCATGTTTACCGACGGGGAAGCATCGCCCGAGTTGAATTCAAATAATCAAGGGACGCTTCTGGCACGGTTACAAAAGTGTTTTCTTCATGGTCCAATGAAGAAATCGAGATCACGAGTTCAACTAATTGTAAATTATCAGAACACTATTTAATTTCCCATACGTTATTAATTATGCAACGATGAATTATATCGCCTCGTCGTACAAACTACAATAAAGATTACAAGTCCACTCCAATGTTTCAAATAATCATTCTCAATACTATATAATGTATTTAATGATTGAGTGCAATCTTTCAATTGAGATAGTCTCTGATGAGGGTTTCTAATTTGAAATAATTGTTCTGCAATCCTTGTTTGAAATAATTATTAGATTTTTTAATGGACAATAAATACTTGGAATTGTTCTATGGCTTATGAATGATGCATTGCTTACTCATTCATACTAATACGCAACGGTGATACAAGTTGGTAATACTGAGGATATACTGTTAATTACAACTGTTGTCCAAAGCAATTTTCGCTACGATAAAAAAACATTTTTCTTGATTACTCTTCGACAAAACATTTAAGCGACACAATCCTACATAATCCTACTTTAGTAGGATAGTGGTTTGTTTTCTATTTCTTACTTCGGTGGAAATATATTCTAGAGAGTGTAAAAAATTACAGCCTTCTTCGTGCGACACGAAGTCCCACGAGGCTGCCACTCTTTAGCAAACTTTCCTCGGTGTAAATACTCTTTAAGGAAACAAGACAATCGAACTAAACGTAGACCGAGGCCCATTTCGCTACGAAAGCGGAAGCTGAACACCGACGACGGCCCACGTGCGAAAAGTTCTCACCGGTGTCGCAACCAGAAAGAGAAAGAGAAGCCGGTCGTTGAGCCGCCCTTTAAAATAGACGGCCGCCTTTTCTCGTGGGACGTCCATCTATTTCGAGACTACTCGCGGCGTCGAAATAAAATCTGTGACTCATATCCCTTTGTTTGGTGTGGGTGGCCGGCCGCAACGTGCGATTCCCGGTTAAGGTCGATCTACACCGAGCCATGCTGCTCCGTGCCGGGTCAATGAAAAATTTCAGACCAGACATAGCTGTCAATATCGCAAAATGAGTTCCAAGTGGTTTCAGCGTGTAGAATTGATTTCAAAAGTCCTGAACATGCTTCTTGATTTCAATTATAATTTCTATTAGAGCCACTTTCTATTCGCAAGTAGCAAATACATATAGTGAAATCATTATTAATTATTTTATTTATAATTGCTATTTTCTATTGTAGACAGGATGTAGACAAAACCAGACATTCAGAAATCTAGTCAAACGATCGTCGCGTCGGTCGTGGCGGGAAATTATGTACGTCTGACTACGGACGACGCGAAGGGCTTTATTCTACTGCCAAGTAGAACAGGTCAATATACACGCTCGACCCACATTCTGCTTACCGCTCGACTGAGCTCGCTACAAATCGATAATAAAGACGCGATGGAAAGGAAACTCCCTTAGGTAAGGAAAGGAAAAGTGAACCGGTTAGAATGTAGGAATGCTCGAAAAATTATACACACGCAACTGGTATTTAATTACGCGGTAGATTGCAATCGAGACATGCACACGGACTTGCCTCTAATTTGCATTTATACATTATTACTAAAACTACCTTTCTTTTAAGTTTTTTTTTACGAAAAAGTCAGTAATAAAATGTTAGAACCCAAGCTCCTATTTTATCAGACATTATTAAAAACAAAATAAATTCTAGTTTCTTTGACGATATATAATTCAGATCATTTGTAATGAATAGAATCAATAATTTTTCAGAAGCTCATCATTTCAAGTCGTTAAGGGAACAGAAGTCGAAGATCAAGACCGAGAAGCTGCAAACAGTTGGACGTGCAACCTGAGAAAGATCACTTAAAACGCGTCCGGTCGCCTACGTGAGTGCAGCGATTGCACGACGGAGATCGACGTAGAAAGAAATATAAAAAAAATACGAACGGGAGAGAAAGAAAGAGAGAGATAGAACGGTACAAGATTTCATTCATGCGCGACCCACTTAAATTTCATTCAACGATCGGCGGACGTGGCAGACCTTCGATAATACCGGTCCGCCTTTCTCTCAACGAGTTACTACTCTCTTGGTACCTGTCGCGGATAGGTCCTGTAAGTTTTTCCCATTGACACGCAATAAATTCTACGAAAGTACCAATTGAGTGTCCAACTAACCGCAATATACATAATTATAAGGATATTAATAACATTGGGAAAGTCTATCTTAAAATAAATCTTAAAGAATAAAAAGTAGTCACATGAGAGAATATATGTAATGAATGTAATATGTAAATAAATTTTTTTATTAATGCATAAAATCTGCATTCTAAGGAAATTCATACCTAACCCATAGTTTTTGCAGCTCGGGATAAATATAACTCAAGGTTGTACTAGAATAGAATCTCTGACGATAATTTCGCAAGTCACGAAATTCGTGAAAAATCAATTCTGCGAGCCTGAATCTCAGTGCTGACTCGGTATACGTGCAGATAAGACGGCAGAAATGGCTTAATATTGTGCCAACGTGCGCCGTGTCTCGTTACCAAACAACCGGTTGCTGATAGTGCAACAATATTCCAGAATAGACCGCAGATAGTCTGGACGTTGTTTATCGGCGTAGCGGCAAAACGTATGGCAGATACGCCGACCCACGACGCCTCGCATAACTTGCAAACCGACTGTGGTTTCGCTTATGCAAAAGAAAGTAGAATGGGTAGACTCTACCACAGACTAGGTACGTGCACAAGTAGCCCTATCAGCCAATGTAGCTTTTGGTCGCCTGTTTTGTGGAGAAGAATAGAAGTTCCGACGTTCTATCTTCTATTGTATTTTATTATTTAAACTGGCTCCATTAACATCCCAACTTTTGGAAAATACTATGAAGTTAAAATATGTTATTTAACCTTTCAAAAATATCTCCTGCCATTCTTAATAAGAATTTTTAATCGGAAACGTATTTAAGAGTATTTCGATTCTAGTTGCAGAAATGGCTAAATTATAATTATTAACTTCAAACAAAGTATACTCTTATAAGCGAAGAACTATAATCCAGAATAGAATTTTGAAAGACGATTGTTATCCACGCTCATAGAAGTTAGCTACATAGTCTAATTCTATAAATCCTTTTAAATTAAATTTAGAAACGATTGTTTTAATTTTTAATCATACAAACTGAATGGGTTGCATTTCTGACAACCGATTTTTTCTACGCCACTGCGTCTGATATGATACGATCGAACAACTGATGGAACGCCGGGTATTTCCTGATTGTGAAACCGACCCGTGGAAGATCCGCAAACGTTTCCCTGGTATTCGTTAAAATGTTCGTATGGACGTCTATAAATTAGACCGTATCGTAGAGATTGCGATGACATAACAGAGATTTTCTATTGCTTTTTCTCTCCTCAGTGACGCGAGCTGAGAAATGAAGACGTAACGAGGTGTAAAACGCCTCGAGGAAGTTTACCTTCGATTTCTCGATTATAACAACAGAACGATTTCAGCAATGCTAGATATTGCGTGGAAGAGGTACATTTTTCTTTCTCAACACGTAGATCGTTCATCATCCATTTGACTTCTTCACTGTAAATGATGTATATACGCGCAAAAAAAGTTGTACACTTTTGCACTAACATACACACGTACATTTACTCCAGTGCGATTTCATTTTATTTGGATATTTCGTAGCTTATAATAAAATGGTTAGAAACTTCAGTTCTAAGATTTTCTGTCGTTCTGAAAACTTTCATTTTTCAGTGCATTTTTGAATATCTATTGGAGATATTCATTATTTCCTCATTACAGCGAAGGATTTAACTATATTAATTGTACAAAAATAAATATTCGAAGCTTTAAGAAAAAGATCTAAATTGAAAGTAATAGCAATCTTTAGTACCGGATAAGTGAAGATCTGAAAGTGCGTGTTATTAGAAGAAAAGAAAAATCGCAATGGAACGAGCGAAGCAATTGGATTCTTTCGTAACTTAAAATTGTCATTATTATTCGACTCGTTTGCGTAAGCACGTACGATTTAATAATCAACAGTCTCTTAAAATACGTCATTCCTAATTTCTACATTAATATAATTGCCTGATATTCGCGTTAATTGGAATGGATTTATCTCGAACCAAAGCGATTACATACATACTTACAAAGTTGTAAGACGTTTCAATAGCAAGTTGATTCATAGCTCCGTTATTCGATAAACGAATCAGAGTGGATTCGACATAAAAAATCCATAGCCTTTTCATTTGCTATCTTCACCGTTATCATATATTTTATAGACGTTTGTTAGAGTACTCGCATTAGCGTTAAGCATCTAACATATGTTTGCTTTCTCCGCAATTAATATCGTGACAAATGCATCTCGATTTGCATTGCTAATGCAAACAAAAATCTAATCTTCTTTAGAACAATAAAGTTTACGATTTAGTAAACAGCAGTACAGTACTCGGTACGGGAAGACAGTAGGTCAGAGGATCAAAAAGAATACAGTGTATCCGTATGATACATCAACTTCAGTCATGAATCTCATTAACAATTTAATAATGACGCTAAAGTAATCTGAATAGCCATTTATCCGTCGACTTTGCAGAGACCTTTAGAAGGTACAAAGAGGCAAGTATTAAAGACAAAACAGCAATGAATTCTAAACAGATTCCACTAACATTTTTATACCATGTAGAAATCCTTTCAGTGATTATGTGGACAAAAAACATGAAATGTAAATGACAGATCAGATGTCAATTTACGTAAGTACACATTGCAATTACAGCGAAAAAATATGGTCAAGTCATTTCTTACTCCACGATAATGATCAACCTATATCCTTAAATTTAGAATTCTACTAATTTTTACTCTCTAATCTCTAATCTAACAAACTGATTTCATTAATTTTATATTTAATAGTATTTGACAAGATTTCTTAGTTGCGTGATCTTAATTAGGATGTAACGAAAGCTTCGTGATAATACATGACAATTAACCAATGCTTAATTATATTTTTCTTAATTGTAGGTCTGGAAGTGGCATACACAGCCAACTGTCCGTTTAGAGTGAATGAAGGAGAAACGACGAAGAGGACGATGAGTCTGGCGGAGCACTGGTTGCGCAACAGGCTGCACCGGTCTCGGTGGAAAAACTGATCAAAGGCGGGCCGCCGCGAGACGCTCGCACATTCCTCGATAATATCTATCGTGGTGATAAGACGCGGCGCGGAGAGCATCGTAAACAGCTCCGACTACGAAAGCTTTATCGGTGACCTTTCGTCGCGCGCCTGCGTCGCTTTAATTAACATCGTCCCCTTTGAACGAGCTCTGCTGCGCGCGCTTACGCGACGATAAGCGCGCGACGGATTGTTTAGTTTAGGTGAACGAGATACTACCAGTTACTCGATTACTCTTAATTAACCCTCGGCTGGCCGAGATCCGAGTCGGTACATTAATCGTTTTCGCTGTTCACTCCACAAAAAGTGAGAGCTCTTTCACGCGACCATTCCTGAATCGCGATTCATAGATGTGGAACAAAGTTGGATAAGTATCCACTTGGATCGTATTGCCACGGCAAGGATTGCAACGTCGCGAGTAAAAATTTAAGTGCCTTTATCATTACCGTGGCATTGTATCATTAGATGATTCGCAGATATGGTACAAGTATAAGAATAATATACATGCATCGATTACGATACATGGATCGGATTCGAAGATGAAACAGCAATCCTGGATCTTTGAATAAGCGTCTACGCAAGGAAGAATGTTCAGTTTCTAAGAAACTAGCCTTCGGATAAAAGATAGAGGACCTCCAGTCACGCCCAGGAAAATGTGCCACGCCGGCATGTCCGAGCAATCTCACCTCCTGACACCGACGTATAATAAATGCCACCCACGCGGAGCGCGTACGCACCGTTTCAGATTCACAGATTCTGTCTCGCGAATATCGTCAAAGTGAATTATTATCGGTAGATAATATCGGGGAAGATTCCGCCGTCGTAGAATCGACAGTCACGCGCGTCATGTTTCGAAGTTAATGAAAAAGCCGGCGGGGAATGTGGGTGCACGCAGGTCGCGGAATTACGCGGCATCTGGTCTGGCTCTTGGTAGCGATCGGAAAAGATCTTTATTATTGGCGTTTTAATGCGCAGGACATTATGCGGTAAGCTTGTCATGAAGCAGACATCCGTGGCCAGACTCGATTCTTATAAATAATTCAATGCCCAAATCTAAACCGATGAGGTTCTTAGAACTTTTGAGAGAAACCAGATGGCTCAACGATTTTCGAAGCATTTTAAAGCAAAGAATATAAAGAACATGTCGTATACAATTTTTCACTCCAAAGAATTACGTTGATTTTGATTTTACAATCAAATTTTCGATTATACATTGTCGCATTTAGTCAGATGTTTCCCTCAATATGCAACGCGAGGATACGCGATGCACCCTTCGTCTCACATTAATTTCTCATTACTATTAGAAATTTAAGAGTTCATATGTGGTACATTCCTCAACAGCGAGAAACTTTTTTGGCAGAACTCTAGACACGAGTTCTGCGAGCGATAAAAAACGATACGTCTCATGGCCGAAATAGCAGCTAGTGCATGCGTGGGTGGGTATCCGATCCTTTGTCACGATCTTCCCGTGATCTTTTCGTGTTTGATCGTCGATCGATCTACGTCGCGTTAATTATTTCGAACGAATCATCCGGTTTTGCAAAGTGCGCATGTTCTTCGGCTAAACGTGCATCATCCTTGTTGTGCAGAGTTACTCAACAGCGTGGAAAATCGCCGCGGCATATTTTGTATTGTACGAGGTTTTCCTTTTCGTTTCGGTTAGTTGTAAGCCATGTTTTCGTATGCCAATACTGTTTTATCTTCGTATAATAGGAAAACATTTAAATTGTAAATCAAAATCTATTCGTGTAACTATTTGCAGATGATTTCGTCTAGTTTTGTAGAGAACGATAAATTACGTAGGTGTTCGATTGAATTCGAGCTGCTAGGTCAAGGCTATAATCTCGAGATGTGGGCGGATCGCACTTACGCGAAGTATCGATGGAAAAAGTACTAAGTGGATCGTTTTAATGATACAGCCGACGGCTAATTCGATTTGCATAATATCGGCAATTTAAAGTCAACAGGTTGCTGTTTCATCGGCACGTAATTACACGGACGATCGTATCTACACTTCGTTTGCAACTAAGTATGTATTCCATTGCAAGTATGCATTCTTTATTTGGAATTCCTAGATTACTACTTCGTTCGTTATAACATGTCCAAGGCGATACATGAAAAAGATTTGAAAATCTATCACTTATAATCTGCGAACAACTGAAGCTGGTACTTTGATCTCTGTAAAATAAGAGAACCGATGAGCGGAGGTGTTAAGGACACTTCAAGGTCAGCTACGTTGCAAGCACCTAAGCCGTGTCTAACTCGAACGCCAGTTATAAAAACAACGGCGACCTTGAAACGCTTGTCGCCTCCACCTACACAGATTTTTCTCCTTCGGATTCCAACATACCTACGCACTCAAGGGTTAAAGAACGTCAAAGACGCGTTAGAATATCAAAGAGAAAGGGTGATAGACGAAAGCGCCGAGGCCGCTTCGCAACAGCTCTTGTATTTTCTAAACGACCCTCGACGTGTTACCGAGTATCGTTTCAACAAACGTAACCTTCGGACATCTCTTTGTACTTATGTTTCGTAATCTTCGCATTCATTTACTTTCACGTGATTTACAATGCTCTTTATCACACTTTGGAAGGTTCAACTTCGACTTTATATACATATGATTAGACTGACAATTTTTTTATAAATGTATAAAATCCTGACATCAAATTCTTATGTACACGACAAAGAATAGACGAATAGATCTTGTGAAACGGGGAAAACTAGCTGACAAGAAAGGATTCCAAATACGAATAGAAAAAAGTTCTAGCCTCGTCTCCTGGACATCGATCGATGACAAAGTTTCTAGTGGAACGCTTCGAGTCTGTTTGTAGACGCATGAACGATGAAACTCGATACGTTCGCGCTTGAATGTTATCCACAAAGCGATCTTAAAGCATTGTGCTAACGGATACAAATAAATCGAGCATATTATGGTTCCGAGGCGTGAATGGATTAAAAATGGCCAACGCCTAGGCATCACGGGCTTCGATTCGATAGGCTGGTTCGTTTTGTTAATAGAATCGTAACCTCGATAAAGAGACCACACAAAAGCTCGATTACGTAGAGAAACGGAGAACGCGTGTAAGCGTTATCCACGACCAACAAATGCGGAACGCCCTGATAAACGACGATACGGCGACCAACGCCGATAGTTCTTGCGAGCAAAGGTGAAAGGAAATCACATTTAAGCGTATATGGAACCAAACCGGTTTCGATTCGTTCCGAACTCCAAAGAGGAAGCGTTTTCCGTTTGGAAAATCAAGACGGAATCTGCGCGAATTCCTTGCGATAAAGAAATGCACGTCGGAAATTGTTGAAATACCTGGCCAATGCGATAGATAAATTGGAACTTGGCACG